GACCTACTGTAAATGCCGACCTATCAACCTCCCAGGTCGGCAAAGTATTAATTTAGCCAAAGTAAGAATCTTTTTTGGTGCTGATAGCTGTTAAAAAGTCAGCGATTATAGAATTCGATTCGTAGTTCGATTAACTAAACACACTTCGATGAAAGGTTTAAAAATTGACAGGTACCAGTATTCTATACATAATTTAAGTAAGACTCCAAAAGAAACACTATGCACCATAATGTTACTGTAGTTGGCATTTCCACGCAAAACGGCATGCTTTATATTCCGATTTCAATTATTCGTAAATACACTGTATGTGATTACTAGTGCTCCAAGACATGGAAACAGATTTTAAAAAATGCAGAGACGTACCAACTTGGGTCAGATTTAGGTTGGCAATTTTTTGCCAACCTCAATTTTGACGGTTTTCGAGGGCTGGGAATGTGGTAAAAATTAAGGAAATCAATATTGTTCTGAAAAAGCTCTGAAAACCGTATTTTAACCCCTCCTTGTCCCAAATAGGTTTGGAAACATTTTTGGAGCGTTTTATTTTTGCAAACAAAACAAATTGTGATAAATTTGGGGGAATTTTGAAATTAAATATTTAAATTAAAAGTACACAGGTTTTACAGATTTTAACTGTTCGCCATCATTTTCCAGAAAAAATTTTTGAGGGGGGGGGGGCGAAAGGAAGCGGGCCCAAACTTTTGAGTTCACCCTCCCCCCCCCAACCATATATCACTTGGCATGTCCCTGAACCCATTGAGTTGCATTGTGCCCCAATGCGACCTCCTTTATTATTTTACTCTAATGCCAGACAATCTTACTCGTGGGGAGAGCGCTAGTGCTCAATAGGTTAACTAATGGAGTTCACTTCAATTTAGCTAGCAATTTTGTCTTTAGCAAGCAATTCAATTTAACAATTATTTAAATTGTTTCAAAAGACTTAGCTGGGAATGAATTCCTTTACAAGTTAGTATTAAATAGAGAATAATACATGAGTGCGCGGAAGATTTATTTCGAGACTCGAGTGTTGAACATGATTTCTCAAGAGTGAGCACAGCGAACGAGTGAGATATCATCATGTTTAACACGAGAAATAAATCTCACTGGTATTTCCAAAAATCCATGTATTTTTCTGTTTATTATATAAAGGCAGTCTTTGAAAAGCAATAATTTCTACAGAAAAGCGATAATTGAAAAGCGATCATTTTCACATGTGAAATTATCATAAATAATCTCACATGTGGGATTACCACTGGGGATTACCAGTTTTATCAGTGGTCGAAATCTCTATACAGCACTATACTTTATATAATACATAGTATAAATTTTCACTCCATTTAGGCAAACCAAGAACCTTGACGGCCCAAAGGTTTTTGCCTCCCCCAGTTCGATCCTCCAGTGAAATTTCCTTATGTAACTTTTGTTCAAGTGATTTTAAAATGTCCAACTAAATCCCCAGCCCTTTAGACTGTAACATTTTAGCAACATTACAGCCCTACACCTTAATTTAATTTAATTTAATTTATTAGCTTTGCCTTGTAGATAACTATATTACAATTAATAGCAGGGAGTCCGTAACAGCACTTAGCCAATTACTACGGCCCCGTAAAACTAACATTAAAACTAATATTACAAATTTAACAAATACAATAATCAACTAACAACAAACAGCATATGAAAATAACAACAATACGTCTTTCACAT